ACTCAGTTTGCAACGTCTGAATCAAATGAAAACTTGGATGCAATCTGTGGTCAAAGTCCATAGATTACTGAGCTTGTAATGCAATCTGTAAGGCAAACACACACAATTTTGATGCCATATGTAGATTTGAAAAATGTGCATGAAATTTGATAAAATGTGCACAAAGACTTTAATCAGTGTAAGAAATGTGTTCATTTCCAAGATGCACACCACTGATGCATAGATTTGGGAAAATAAGCACAGATTTTCATGCAAAAGCAAGCAAGCAAACAAACAAACCCAAAGCTTGTAATCTGACACAGTACTGAGTTGACATGAGCTTTGAGATGGAATATGAATAATTTTGATAAGCTCTGGATTTGGTAATTCACACATTCCTAGTTCAGAGAGCACATCAGAGCATATGTGGCAGCTGAGTCTACCCTAAGGCTGGCATGCAGTCCCTAATGAGCCCGTCACACCTGTTATTCACATGTAGTTGCATTCAAAATCAATCTCTCTCTCTCTCTCTCTCTCTCTCTCTCTCTCTCTCTCTCTCTCTCTCTCTCTCTCTCTCTCTCTCATAGAGATTCACACACACACTCATGCCTGCTCAAAAATCATTAGTTTTCTGATTTAAAATGTTTTAATTGAGAGTTTTAAAACATTTTGCATTTTAAATTTCTTCTCCAAAACTGCACTGAGATGTCTTTTTAGATATAGTCAAGTGGTCTGTGAATGTTTTTTTCAGGAGAAGCACTTCCTTCTCTACCCCTCCCTCCTCTTCTTGGCTTTGCTTTGCTTTAAAAAGAAAGTGAAGAATGACTTTTGCCATAGATGCTCTCGAATTTCCTGCCTGAGTTAGTGGGCTTAGCTGGAATTTTCCAGCAGTCTCTTTTGATTCTGATAAACAGAGATGTTAAGACATACGGGGTGATAAATTTTCTGATGTAATGTCAGACTTTGGAAGAGCATCCAAAACATTCTGATCCTTAGTTCCATCATCATTTTTCAAAATGGGATTGCATGTTGGTAGAAACAAGTAAAAGTGGTGGCCCAAAGCTAACAAACACCCACATTGCTGTCTTTCCCTGGAGTATACACCTCTCTGACAGCTATACCAGCCTCAAATGAGCCTTTGAACACAGTCAGAACATATCCTGATCTGGAAGACTGCTGGAGTTGTTGACAAGCAGTTATTAGTCAAAGCCATTGATGAGAAGGCAAAATCAATGGGCACAAGAAAAATGACTGAAGGTGACTTCAACATTTGTGGATTAAGTTTGCATCTCTCACATGCATCCATTTTAAAGATACACACTCCTTCTATTTAGGAAAAGAACTCAGGGCAGCTTATAACAATAGAAAGTCCCCAGTCTAATTGCATTCCCTGTGCTTTTCAGCATCTCCATGAGACTTCTGGGTGAGGTCACCCAGAGGTCTAGGTTGAAGTGCCATCAGTTTGCTGATGACACTCAGCTCTACCTCTCTTTTTCCTCTAATCCAGGTAAGGCAATCAATATTCTAGGTCAGCGCCTGCGCTCAGTAATGGACTGGATGAGGGACAATAAAGGGAAGCACAAACCAGACAAGGTGTTGTTGGTGGGAAGAGCATCCCTCCAGCTAAGAAATGTTCAACCTGTCCTGCATGGGGTTGCATTCACCCTAAAGGACAAGGTTTGTAGCTTGGAGGAGTAGCTCAGGTGTGCTTGGTTGCCAGGAGCTCCTTTATCAGCTTTGGCTGATTTTGCAGCTGTGTTCGTACTTGGATGAGTGGCGCTTCACCAGTTATCTGCATGCTGGTAGCCTCTCATCTGCATTACTGCAATGCGCTTCCTTTAAAAATGGTCCAGACAATCCAACTCATTCAGAACAGGGCAGTGTGGCTGCTAACAAGGACTGGCCCTCGAGAATATACTATCCCAGTCTTTCATCAGCTACACTGATTGCCTGTTGCAGTCTGCACCCAAGTCAGAGTGCTGACTTTAATGTACAAAGCCCTAAACAACTTGGGGCCAGGATATCTGAGGGATGTCTTTCCCCATATGTCCCTGCCCATTCACTGAGTTAGTTGGCAGAAGTCATTTCACCTCCCAAAGAAGTGGGAGGGAGAAGAGCAAGGAGAGGGGCCTCTTCTGTGGTGGCACCTTACTTCGAGAACACGGCACCATCGTTGATCTCTTTTAGGCACCAGGTAAAGACCTTTTTGTTCAAACAGGTGTTTAGTAGCTAACTTGGTTTTTAACACCATTTTAATATTTCTGCTGCTTGTCGTTTTGATTGGACTTTTCTCTTTGCACTGCCATTTTGTTTCTGATGTTGTATCCCACATTGTTTTGTACTGTTTTACTAGTTTTATATGGTTTTGGTTGCTGTTATGTAATTGATTTGATGTTTTATTGTAAGCTGCCCAGAGAGCCTTTAGGCATATAGGTGAAACGAACAAACAAAATGCGTAAGTTAACAGCTTCCAGGCTCAGACCCACAGGTCAACAAAGGGCCAAAGAAAAGACCAGAAATTTCCATTTGCTAATGTCCCTGTGCTTCAGAGTCTCTGTGTGTCTTTGAAGGACCCTATTTTCCCTATCATAAAAAAGGGAAAGTTTAATTAGGAGAGAGGAGGGTGTTTGATTTGTGGGGGGGGGGTGTAAGGTAGAAGAGTGAGGTGGGAGGCAGCAGGAGGTGAAGCACATGTGGATAAAGTCAATGGATTCAGGAGGGTCAGATGCAACAGAGATGATCAGCACCCCGTACTAGTATTTCAGAAAGTGCCCATGGACATCAGGGGAGCGTGGCAGAGGGCCTCCCAAAGACTCTGGGTTCCAAATGAAAGATTTGGGGGTCCATCCCTGTAGGGCCACAATGAAGCTGGTCTTTTACCATAATAAAGTTTCTATCTGTCTGTCTATCTATCTCTATTTATCTATCTATCAGACCACTGCCTAACAATACATAGAGCAGTAATCACAACAAGCTCAGAAATTAATTAATTAAATAAAGGCAGCAGTTCAGAAGCTGCAATCAAGAAAGGAACAGAAGTACCTAATCCTAACAGACCAAACAAAGGGAATAGAAAATATTCAGTCAGTTTAACCATCATGTGATAGAATTTAATCACACTGTGCAATCTTATGCACGTCTACTCAGACACGTATCCATGTGTTATATACGTAGGATGTATCCAATCCTATACATCCCTACTGAACAGCAAGCTCCAGCTAAGTGAGCTATGCTGTTAGAAAGCGCTCGTTCAGTTTTGCTGATCACAAAGCAACTGTTGCCTCCGGGGATTTGTTCAGGGAGGAAATATGGAAAGATACTTTAATGTTTATCGCACCCATTAATTCTCCCTTCTTATTCTGTGCCTTCCTCTTTCTGGCTGCATCCAGTAATATCAAGTAACAACAGTATTTTTTCATCTCCAATGTGAGAGACACTCCCCATGTTGCAACAATAGCCAGATGTGCTGATGTGCTGCAAGACCACAAATGAGGTTGCATTTCCCTTTCTAAATGTAAATTATTGATAATATATCAAAACTTAACTGATGTATCTCCTCACACGAGCAATTGGTGATCTTTGCCTCAGTCTGTAGCTGATGTACTGATGTCTTTTTCCAGAAGATAAATCTGTGCATTAATCTGTATTTGTATTAACTCTCCACCATACATTATAATGGAGAGTGGAAGAACGGAAAACTTGATCCAGTGGAAGAGCCCGCTGGCAGAAGGAGGAATAATCAATTTGTACTGACTCCTTCTCCCCCACATTCCCTGTCCACTCTTCTGGAGGATTCCACAACTGTCTGGAGTGGATTTTGGAGGATTGCAGGGAAAAGGTGAATTAGAAAAAGATTCTTCCTTTCCTTGTCCTCCAGCAGGAAATGTAGGTACACCCTGAACACAGCTCTGCACAGGGAAGTTGTTACCAGAGGCAGTAAATTCAGGATCCAAGCCATTATGTTCTCATTCAGATTCATTCATGCAGTACGCCAGTTTTCTCTTGAAAAGGCTCTCAAAGTTGCTCACATAAGATCAATAGATCTAAGACTGTCCCTGACTGCAGGCTTGCAATCTGAAACATATAACACAAAAGGAGAAAGCATTGAGGAGGGAATAGGACACTAATTGAACTTGGGCACCAATTCTTAAAGTGACATACTATGGTTCTCACAATAACCAACTGGAGTCATTTTCAAATCTGACCATAGTATTTTTTTTATCATGGCCAGTTCAAGGAGAAGAAAAGGATTTTTAAATGCTGGCTACTTGCAATTCTCCCTCTGGTATCTCCCACTCTAAAAGCAGGTCAGGAAAACCTTGTTTTCTCATGACCACTGAAAAGTCAAGAGTACTGAAATGAAGAACAAAAAGAGTTGCTGTGCTTTCAGTACATTTAAATGGTGCTTGTGCAAGAGAACTGCCTGACCAATTGGGACCCACCACAGTGGTTGAATCTTGTGCTTGCTTTATATATGTGGAGGGCATCAAAATGATTTGGATTTTTTGTGTGATTCTGGAGCGAATGAGCAGCATGTTTGTACTGAAGCTGCTATATAACGCTGTGCTAAGTAGCTTTCTTTTATGGCCATTATTGGAAGGGGATTAATACTCCAACAAAAGCAGTGGGAGAAGTTCAACAATATTTTGGCACTATTTCTCATTGGGAGGAGGGGCTGGGCTTCTGCTTAGCTTGTAAGTGTAGGGAGTGCAGAAGAGATCTCCTTTCTGATTCTAAAATCAGCCCATGTTCTCTTGGAGCTTTTACACAGAGACTTTCAGCTTAACTCAACAGTTACTTGAATGCTGGTGAGATCACAAGGCCTCGTAATGGCTCTTCTGGGAAGCTTCTGCAAAAGACTCCCCTTTTGTAGGAGGGGAGAATTTCACAGAAGCTGGAGCAGGACCTGGCACAGCACTGGCATTTTAGGCTGCAACCTAGACTACATCCCGTCCCATTTTTAAATCCTTGACTGTTGTGAAGTGATGGCAACTGAGCTTGTTCTCTGCTTTCTTTTTAAGGACCTCCTCAACAGCCCACATTTAGTGGTGGATGGTATGAGCAGATTTGATATTGTTCAAGGAGATGTAGGTAAGCTCCAAGTTCTGTTTTGGTAAAATTCAAATTCTGCTAATGATCTGGAGTGCACAACAAATAACTGTGATGAACTAAGACTGCACCTGCAAGCCCTTCTCTGGAAAATGAGGTTTTTATGATTGCCCCTGTAAGAAAGAGCATGTAACTGGAGGTGACCCAAAGCTATTCAGAAGCCCATAAACTATTAACTACAAAGATGGAGTTAAAATCCAAGCAGGAAAAAAGTGAATAATTTTTCAGCTTAGAAAAGGTGAAACATGCCAAACGGAAAAAACAAAGAGGCAATAAATGGAAATGATTTATAGAGAAGAGTAAATGCAAAGGAACTTGTTGTTGTTGTTGTTCTTGTTGTTAGTCTCAAAGTTGTGCCCGACCCATTCGTGACCCCATGGACAACATTCCTCCAGGCCTTCCTGTCCTCCGCCATCCCCCGGAGTCCACCTAAGCTCACACCAACTGCTTCAGTGACTCCATCTAGCCACCTCATTCTCTGCTGTCCCCTTCTTATTTTGCCATCTATTGTTCCCAGCATTAGGCTCTTCCCCAGAAAGTCCTTCCTTCTCATTAGGGGCCAAAGTATTTGAGTTTCATCTTCAGTATGTGGCCTTCTAAAGAGCAATCAGGGTTGATCTCCTCTAGGACTGACCAGTTTGATCGCCTTGCAGTCCAAGGGACTCACAGGAGTCTCGTCCAGCACCACAATTCAAAGGCTTCAATCCTTTTGCGCTCAGCCTTCCTTATGGTCCAGCTTTCACAGCCATACATTGCAACTGGGAAAACCATAGCCTTGACTAAACACACTTTTGTTGGCAGGGTGATGTCTCTGCTTTTTAGTATGCTGTCTAGATTTGCCATAGCTTTCCTTCCAAGAAGCAAGCATCATTTAATTTCTTGGCTGCAGTCCCCGTCTGCGGTGATCTTGGAGCCCAGGAAAATACAATCTGTCACTACCTCCATTTCTTCCCCATCTATTTGCCAGGAAGTGAGAGGACCGGATGCTATTATCTTAGTTTTCTTAATGTTGAGTTTCAAGCCAACTTTTGCACTCTCCTCCTTCACCCGCATCAAGGGGCTCTTTAGTTCCTCTTCACTTTCTGCCCTGAGAGTGGTATCATCTGGATATCTGAGGTTGTTATTTCTCTCAGCAATCTTAATTCCAACTGGTGTTTCATCTAGCCCTGCCTTTCTCATGATGTGCTCTGCATGTAAGTTAAATAGACAGGGCAACAGTATACAGCCTTGCCGAACTCCTTTCCCAATTTTGAACCAATCAGTGGTTCCGTGTCCAGTCATCACTGTTGCTTCTTGACCCGCATATAGGTTTCTCAAGAGACAAATAAGATGGTCTGGTACTCCCATCTCTTTAAGAACCTGCCACAATTTGTTGTGATCCACACAATCAAATGCTTTAGCATAGTCAATGAAGCAGATGTTTTTCTGGATCTCCCTAGCTTTCTCCATGATCCAGCGTATGTTGGCAATTTGATCTCTAGTTCCTCTCCCTCTTCGAAATCCTGCCCGTATTTCTGGTAGTTCTCGGTCCACATACTGCTGGAGCCTAGCTTGTAGGATTTTGAGCATAACTTTGCTATGAGTGCAATGTGAAATGAGTGCAATGGTGCGGTAGTTTGAACATTCTTTGGGATGGGAATGTAAACTGACCTTTTCCAATCCTGCGGCCACTGTTGAGTTTTCCAAATATGCCAGCAAATTTGGAAAACTCAAC